CTTAATATATTAGTAAGCATGTATGAGATACACTTTGTATAATATATTCGAATCATAAGGTTGATTTTTTTATATAACTCAAAATAATTATAGGACTCAATTAGAATATTTTTAAGAATATAGGTTTCTAAAATGTTGGTTAATATGCTGAGTTGTGACAGTCGTGATTAAAATATGTTCCTAAATGAAACCTCTTAGTTATTAATAAGTTGCTGTTTAGAATTTTCTTATTAAAATTGAATATACCATAAAAATATTTGATTTTATAATGTTAGTATTTATTTGATTAAAATAGTTTTGTAACGAAAAAATTCACAATTTTAAAACGTTAACATAATGAACATTCTATCTGGTTGAACTCATTATATATTTTTCGAAATAATACAAACGTGAAAATAGTAATCAATTTTTCTTCGTCGTCTCGTCCAGCTCAGGAAAAAAGTGTTGATAAAGAAGCTCTCCTTACGTCTAAAAGCACCGTTTTTTTTTTAAAATTTTTTTACGTCCGATTGGTAATAAATTGTATTCGGTGTGCGCATATAATATATATATATATATATATATTATTCTGGGAGCCGACGACAGCAGTGGCGGTGGCAGAACAGACAAGTGGTATATAACTCGCGATTTACATAAAACTTTCATTACTTAAAATAACGCTCTTACACTTCACTTTGTCAACCTTGTCTATTTACATTTAAGTCGTCGCAGTCGGTCGAATGTTTTATTCAGCGGTGCTTAAACGAGTGGCGTGTTAAAAATATACGTTTCGCGTAATTTGAACTCCGATTCGGAGTAATTTTATTCCCGACAGACCAGAAAAAAAAAACCGCAATATAAAAACGACCGACGACCGGTTTACCGCATAGTCGGTAACACTTGTTTGTCGTATAAGTCGTTTTGTAATGTTTATACCTCTAAGTATTATTGTGTATAATATACGGTCCCTTCTCGAATCGGATAAGTACGAATCCTGCGTTCTAGTTTGCTCTTGAATTTCCTGTAGACAACGAATCGAAATTCGCCACCGATGTCTGTGTGGAACTTTTTTACGTGATATTGCAGTAATATAATATATTATTATGATTTAAAATTCAACAATATTTGTATAAAACATTTATGTGTTCAAATCAGAATTCGAATTAACATTTTCTGAGTTATTGAACCCCGTGTACTCGGCCAACCGGAGGATAATTTTAATTATAGTCCTTTATATTGGTTTTACATACAAAATAGTATGAATGATGCACCTAATGATACAATACAGTCAAACTTGGTAAATTTGAGCTTTTTAGCTCGAAATCATCGATACCTACCTCGAAGTTTTTCCCGGTCCCTAGCGAATTTCCTACCATTGTATTATTGGACAACTCCAATTCTTGGATAACTTGAACTTTTTGGTTATACTTTTTGTAGTTAATCAAGTCTGCCTTGTATAATAATATAGTCTGTCGTACTTATTAAACTAATAAACGCAGATAGACAAGTGACGGCCAACTATTGATATTCTTGAGAAGGTTGGACATAATATTGATGATCCTTACTATCGCTTAATTTGTATTAACTTTAAGGTTCCTTCCTCTATTTTTTTTCTCTCCTTTTGTTGTTAATTTTTATAATACATCAATATGATAGAAATCATCCAGTTGACATATAATTTGTTTGGGAAATGAGCTCTGTACATTATTCAATTGGTAATTACTACTCAACACATTATTTTAATTGTTCATGGCATGTAATTATTGTATTGTAATTTATAATAAGTTTATTTTGTTTATAAACGAAACACGAATATGCATTTTGTGATTGATTATATTATTGGTCATCATATTTGTTGAATAATAAATAAATAAATATATATAGTTCTTATAAAATATAAAACATAAGTAGATTACTATAATACTAAATAATATAATTTTTAAATCATAATAATATAGCCATCTTCTAAAGATATTGTCACAGACAATCATAATATTAGGAGAAGTAATACTAACGAGGTTCCTCCTCCGTCCCTCGATTAACTAGAAAAAAAAAGAGACAATCATAATATCCTCACTAGGCAGTAGGCACATTTTAAATCTCAGGAAGAGCGTTCGACTTTTGATTTAAATATAATATAATGTATAAAAATGTACCTACAACAAAATTAACATCTGCATAAAAATATTAAAACAAAAAAAATTGATATGTATACTTGTTTATAAACATTTCTTAAACCATTATTTGGATTAATTTGTGATGAATTTAAACTTCGGTTTACATACAAGAAGCACCCTGTATATTATATTACACACTCAATGCATTTGGTTAAAATATTATAATATATTAATTTAATGTTTTTATGACAGCTAGCCACCTTATACCTGATATACCTTTTATTTATCACGAATCGGAGGATAGCAGTTATGGACAAAGAGTCGAAAGCGATCCACACATTTTAACCATATCATAAGCATAATATTATATTATTAATACGCCATGGGACGAATAAATCTTAGAAAATAATCGCCAACGCGCAATATTATATGTGTGAGACACCGTGCGGGTAATCCACAAGATGTATTTATGAATATTTATTACGAATTATATATCGAGATATATACTAATATTATAATAAAATAATTTGCAATTTAAATGTTGCCGTCTTTGGTGAGACGATATTAAACCTCGCGTGGCTTAGTTACTGTGTGTCATAATAATAATAATAGTAATAATATTTTGTTATAAGATATTATAAAGATATAATAAACAGTCGGACTTTGTTAACTCCAATATTTTTGACTCAAAATCGTCGATACCTTGTACTTTTTCCTGATCTCTAGAAATTTCTTGAATTGTATTATCCTTGGATAACTCGAACTTTTTAGCTTGTCAATTCAACTTCAAATTAACTAAGTCCAACTGTGTTAATATAATATTATCGTTCATGTGCTGTAGCAAATAATATATATAATATATAATAATAATAATTATAGAAAATAAAATGTATATATTAGGAACACGTTGCGAGAAATTTCAACATTTTCGAGATCGATTCGTCGTAAAATAAAAAGATAAAACTGTCCTTAACGATATTATTACGTACAATATTTTTGGAATAAAAAGGTTATTCTGTATGTTGCTCAGGCCATTGTCAATCCGATTTTTATAGTTTGTCGTCAACAAAATAATATACCTACCATTTAACTCTCATGTACTCATTTCCACATTTATGTTTATCTGAGCAGGCTGTATGTATTTCGTTAAAATAATATGTTACCTTTAGGACGGACCCCACCGACCAACTCACGTCTCGCAATAATGTGCGATGGAACGAGTGAAAAAAAAGACCGTCTAACCTAACCTAACTAAGCACCTACCCACTCTTAAGTACGGTTAGCTGTACAACGGACTACGACTTTATGCATTCTAAGGTATGCATAATATAAAGGTCCAAATATTTCTTTTCTTATTTCTCTCTAACTTTTTGAAACCGAAATGAATTTAATTTGTAATTTATAGTAAATATTTATGTTAACGGTTTTATGAAATAATAATAAGATGGATATAAATAGAAAGCGAAAATAAAAATGTGTACGGTTGACGCATCTAAATAAAACCCATAAAAAAAAAATTATAAAGTTTTCATTTTCACTCCTTGTTATTATTTTTTATTGTGCCGTAGTCATGTCATATTATTTTGAGGGAGAAAAGTTTTTCTGAAAATTCAAAATCAGAACGAATCTCCTCCGAAAACTTCGCAAAACCAACGGCAAATGACTATTGTTCATTCGTTGACCACAAAATGTCTTGGCATTGACCTCTGGCTGATCTTAGCAAGTACCCGTTCCGAGTTCGGTTATTATAGATGATAATAAGTGACAATACTGATACTATATTTTATTGACGTCATCAATTTTTTCTCGGTAAATGTTTTATTTTTATATACTCATATAAAAGTTATAACAGGGGTGTACCCAGGAAATTTTAAAAGGGGGTCCTATTTTTTTACATGTTATAAGTATATAATAGTCAATAAGTGATTTGCACTTTAAGAATTTTAAATGTTGTTAATCAATTGTTAATCAATGGGAGGGGGTCCAGACCCGATTCCTCCTTTTATACTTCCCTGAGTTATAATACAACTATAATTATAAGCACCTATACCTTACACTCATAATTATGCTAATTCAAAATCATGGCTTTGCAGTTTGCACCATAACCATATTTTATTCTAGTTTTCAGTGCTAGATGTGTTGGGGCATTCAAATACCAGAATAAAAAAAAATGTAAACAAACTTTTGGGTGTTAATAATCTTTATTATTCTATTTAATATAAGTTTATTTAAATTTTTTGGATATTATTAAATTAGTTCGCTTCTTCCCGCCTCCCCTAAAAACCAAGCATATTGCTTCTATATTATTACATTTTATAGTTGATAATTATTATTATTTTTTTTTTCAGAATTTGTCTTTAGCTTTGACAGGGGCTATTAGCTTATTATACTTTATTTATATTTCACTTATTTATAGTAACAATTCGATTACAATAATTTAGGAATTATTAGGGACTTAGGTCTTATAACTATTTGTTTGTATTCCTCTTAAATGTATTTCCCCATTTCGATGCTCGTTTATAAATTATAGCTAGATAACTAGGTATGAAAATGAATGTTTTCTCGTCAGAACAAATCCCTGTGAGCATTCCATCCATTTAATTGGTATTATAATTTATATTTAAGGACGGAGTATCCATTATAGTATAGGGACCTATGTGTTTAGTGTAATCCGTAAGGACATTCGTGGTCTTTCTGGTCGGTTGTTGTCGTGTCAGTGGAAGATTTTAAACATTTTTATCGACTCGATTGGCCCGTCATGATCGATGGTGTTGAGCGAGTGGAAAAAGCAATCAGGTCGGTTGTGCTTTTTGTTTTTTGTTTGCTATTGTTTCTCTTTTATCGATCGTGTTGGACTCTTTCTGCTCCTCGTCGTAATGATGATAACGACAGTATAATAATACCATGTACCACGTGGTCGGTTTGAGTACGAGACCTGTATTTGTCGTGATCGCGTCGTGCGAAAAACGGCTCTCCGGGCGGGGTGACCGCGAAGGGCAGTTCGGTACGTTATGGGGATCTGTCTCACCCCTAGCCACAACGTCGTCTATCAATCGCGCTAGACAAGTGAACGGCGTTCTAGTGGTGGGGAGGGGGTGTGAGAGAGAGTGTGAGTTGGAAGGCGACGGTGAAGAAGGGGAAAAAAAACGTTTCTGATTTATAGCCTTCCCATCAATATTCTGTTCTTTTCAATACACCCCCACCCCCTGCCCCCTCCCACACAACTCACCGAACCATGACTCACGATCGATAAAACATGAACGGGGAACGTGCAGATAGTACGAGCAGTACCCGTGTGTGTCTATGGGTATGGGCACGTATGGGTATGTGGGTGTGTGGATGCACGCGGTAGGCGCTCGCCGAGATTCGAAACGTCATATCGCCCCCAAGACAAATACGTCTTAAATTACATTCCGAGTACAGATTCATCATTCCCACGGCCGGCCACGTGCGCTACCGAAATTCGGCAGCGGAAAAGAGCGGGCCCGGAGATTGCTGCCGCGGGGTCGTGAGGGGACTGACGAGGTAGAGAGTGGTGAAAAAATACGATACGATAAATCCTCGCCGACGACCAAGTCTCGAACGTATATACGTCGTAATATATTATACACCGCTATGAGTTATTGTCGCACAACGACGAAGACGACGACGACGACGACTACAACGACGACGACGAGGACGAATTTTCATGTCGGTCGATCCCTCTCCGCCGATCACGAGCCCAATATAATAAGCACACCACGTCGTACGAAAATCGGAAAATGAATTCCCACTGATCCAACAGCTATAATAATGTACGCGACACGCCACCGCTTGGAGGATATCATCACTGTCGAGTTAACGAACGTTTATTAAACACTCGTGGGAAACCGAAAAAAAATATAATATAATATTGAGTTCAGAATTTCGGAGTTATTATACGGTCGTATCAACTCTGCATCTTAAACCATCCACGATCCACACCGAGCATGCTTCTGTTTTTGAAGTAGGTATTTGAGACGATCGCGTCGTTTTATAATAATTTTAAAGTTATTCCTATATTACTAACATGCGCATAGACAGTGGTCAAAGCTGGGGTGCTACAAATAGATATCATCCCTCCACTTTTATAATTTACATTTTCTATCAATTCATTTATATTCAGCCACTTCGGCCACTATGCACATGGACCTCGTATACCTAGAAAACATCTATCGATTAAAAATCTTCATCACTAAGTTGTCTGGCTATGGGTATGCATTCTTTTTTACTTACTGTAAATTCAGAGCTTACCCGGGAATGCAAGATGAGTAATTGACAATCTGATTAGATTTTTGGATATTTTAATCAACCTCAATAACTTAATTTGTAACAAAAATAGAATGGTATAAATGGTGTGTTAATTATAATATAAATAATATTACTGATTATTTTAATAAATTACTTATTTTCCACGAACAGTTGATGGGAACGCAAATCACAGCCACTCACTTAACATGTTTTAAAAATGAATTAAAATACGTAGAAAATTCTTCTGGATAGAGTTTCAAGTGGACTACCTATAGGAGTGTTTGAAATTATGGCTATCCAATGTACAAATTGGTTATTGGTATAAGTGCTTAAACTTAAATGACTTATTAGGTAATTAAATTGAATATTTTATAAGTTTTTAGTACAAAATAATTTCCAAATAAAAGGAATTTTGAAGTGTTATTCATTATAAAATTTGAATAACTTTTATTCGATCGAAGCGAGACTTTCTTTTTATCGTATATAGGTATTTCATGTCGTTAACCTCCCACCCACTCCACCGCAAGAGTTGTACCCGATTTAAACCTGTTATTAATTAGTGGATAGGTAGAGTGACCCACAAAAAGTTGTTAACAAATCAACTTCACTTTGGATATTTGATTTTTATGTATCAATAATATTATCAGAAAAAAGTTCAGCTGTTGAATATGTGGAATACAAAAATAATAGTAAATTAGTAAGTTCTATGATTGTTTTCATGAATTTTGGTTTTTAGTAAAATTGAATTCGGTAAGGAAATTTTATTTTCTAAAATTATTAAAGTATATCATTCTTTTTGAGACCATCTCATAAGTGTTCGCTCAAGAAGGAATCCACCACGTATATATGGGGTAGATCACACGAACTATTGCTGTATCGATCGCACGTTCACCGTTTGTTTATGTGTTTACAAGAAACTGTAATCATTTCGAAAACGGCTTACGAAAACTGCAGCATTATAATAGCGGAGCCACTACGAAAAGCGCCTGTAATCGGGCCTTACATAATACACAACAGCTAGCTGGCGGCGGTTCGGCAATTTTCGTTCACGAAACGTATCCGTCAATGCCTATTCAAATCGATTCCAATCTCGGTGTAACAGCTGCGCAAATAACGTTCGGAAAACAAATAACGATTCGCAATATTTATCTTCCCGACAGTCAAGACATCACCACCAGCGGAGACTCGACGAATATAATTATGAAACGATTACCGTCGAATTTCGTATCGCTGTACAAAGAGACCGCCATGGCGCGAGCACGTCGCCGTGCCGAATATTGTTCCGATATTTTGCCGAAACTCCCCGAAATCGATCTACAGTAACATATCATTATTTGTGAGCGATCGTAGATTTTATGTAAATAACCATTTTATTCCCTATATTGTTATACAAGTAGCTAAATGTTGTAGAAAATATTATTTTATCATTACAGTAATAATATTATATCTGATTACCAAAATGTGATTAACACATTGTCAGTGTAAAATCAATTTTTTTTTTTTAATAGGAAAATTGTTTGAGTAAGTGTAGGTACAACACGGTTCCAGAGCACTCCCTTTCTCAAATGTTGATTAAATACAATTTTCATTGATAAAGTACAGTCGTTGCCAGATAAATTGAGCAGGCGGCGGCGGCGCTTTTCAGTAAGTGTAGCCCAAACTAGTTGCTGGCAGTGTGGTGCATAGGTCACACAGTTGGCTACGACGCGCGCATTCACCAGTTCGAACCCGGCTCAGTGCAAACAATTTTAAATTAATATCCTAAAATATTTTTTGTAACAATTGTTGGTTTATTGATGTATTTTTGGTAATAACTAATAATATTGAAATACGGAGAACCACTGGTTTTCCGTTATCGCGCCGCCGCCGCCTGCTCAATTTATCTGGCAACGACTGTATTATGATGTACTGTTTTTGTGATGTACAACACAGTTATAAAAAAAAAATATTTATGCAAGTACTCAAACACAAGGAAACTAATTATTTCCAATTTTTTAGTTGAGAATCGAAAAGGTTTTAATTCTAAAAACCAACTAACGAAAAGTTGTGTGACATTTTAATTCTTAAAAACGTAAAGTCAAATTTTATCCATAATATTCAAGCAGCACTGATGCAAACATATTTGTAATATTGTTTCAATATAGATGTAATTCTGAATTGTATTAAATTATTAACTTTGATTCGAAAAAATAATATCAACTAAATATTTTTTATTTTGTTTATTTTTTGAATTTATGTATGTAAGTAGTGAAATTTAATTTACAATTTTACTTATTTTTTGGTACGATTATACAATTATTTCCAGTTCTGATGAAATAGTTCAGCGAACGACCATGTTTGAAAAGACAATCCAAGAATTCCGTGAAGCTTTATGCAAAGAGAAAAATAAATTGAAGGAGAAAAATAGTAAACTAAAGGCTAGTAATCAGTCGTTAATCTCAAACATGTACTAATACGAAACTTTGCGAATCACTAATGGAAAACAAAACACTGAAATGTCAGCTCGCAGATCAACACGAATCGATAAAACTTTTGGAGTCAATGAAAAATAGGCAACAACAGGAAATAGAAAACATCAAGGAGAACGTGGAGATGTCGGCAAAAATTTTGGTAACAGAGTTTGAACAGCATGCACGGGAACTTCTGAAAATATGAGCGTGGATGAGCGTTCAGGATGAGCGTGAACTCAAGGAATTAAGTAAAAAACTATCGGAACGAATTAAATGTATGAAAAAAATGATACACGACGATGATATATAGAGCAATAGATAAAAATAAATAAGAATATAAAAATGTTCATATTTTGGACATATCATCGTCATGTATCATTTTTTTCAAACATTTAATTCGTTCCGATAGTTTTTTACTTAATTCCTTAAGTTCACGCTCATCCTGAGCTTTGAACTCTAATTTCTTTTCAGAAATCTTCTGCTCCCGTTCATGCTGTTCACGCTCTGTTGCCAAAATTTTTGCCGACATCTCCTCGTTCTCCTTGAGGTTTTCTATTTCCTGTTGTAGCCTATTTTTCATTGACTCCAAAAGTTTTATCGATTCGTGTTGATCTGCGAGCTGACATTTCAGTGTTTTGTTTTCCATTAGTGATTCGCAAAGTTTCGTATTAGTACACTCCATGCTTGAGATTAACGACTGATTACCAGCCTTAAGTTTACTATTTTTCTCCTCCAATTTATTTTTTTCTTTGCATAAAGCTTCACGGGTTTCTTGGATTGTCTTTTCAAACTCGGTCGTTCGCTTAACTATTTCATCTCTTGCTTCTTGTAATTGATGTTCTGCCTTTTCTAATTTAGCGACATTTTCTTTCAACTCCTTTCGCAGTCCAGTTATCTCTGCTTGCGTCACGCATACGTCCTTTTCGTATTTCATTTTGAGTTCGCACATCGAGGACTGCAAACTCTCGTTGCAGTCTTGTTCGATGCTCAATTTTTTCTCCAGTTCTGCGTATTTCATGATCTTATCCGCCAAAGCATTTTGTACACAAATAAATTCTTGATCTTTTAATTTAAGTTCTGATTTCAATAGTCGTTGGGTGTCATGAGACTTCTTTGTTGCATACGAAAGTTGCTTTTGCAGGTTTGTAATTTCATCCAAGTGGTTTGTCTCAATGTTTTCTAGTTCCTTCGACCTAGCCACCTGCGTATCTAACTTATACTGTAAACAGTCGATTTCTTCTTGGTACCCCGCCGAGTGTTTATCGAACATACATTGATAGTCGTCAAGCTCTTGAATTAGCTTACTGTTTTTATTTTCCAGCTCGTGGAACAGCTCATCCTGTTTTATTTTAACTGCATCCAGCATGTCAAACCCCGCATACATCTTATCAGCCAATTTAGCGTTCTCGTCTTCACGCGCATCTAGTGTTGTTTCTAGTTCTTGTATATACGTGGCCATCTTTTCTATTTTGCATATTAATTGCTCATTTTCGGAGTCCATAATTTATAAAAATGTATAAATCACTATATAAAAAATTAAAATATATTGTTATGTTTTTTTTTAAGATTGTATATACCACATTCGCGTTACTTGTTTATAAACATCAATACGTATCCTAGTTAAAATATATTTACGATCTATCATATTATTTGAGTAGGTACTCATAATAATATTAGAATTTAAAATATTTCACTGGCCAAAATAAATAAATAATGCTTAATCAATTAATTAATTAATTAATTAATGAATTTTAAAGGATCAGCAAGTTATACAAATCTATAATATGAGCAACCTATGATTTTCTACTAAAAAGGCAAAAAACATATTAAAAATATGAGCGCCTGTTTACTCCTACACACACACATATAAACACGTGAGAATCTAAACATTTAATCTCGCATAAATGTATAATTTATTGAATCGGTCGTCAACTACTACAACAACTGCAGTCTACAATTAAACGCACTCGCATACTATTCTACTGATATTACCTATTGTTTCAGAACCATTCGATAAAATATTAATTTATGATCCCTGGTATTGTGTTTATATAGATGCTCGAAAACGAGCGTATCACTCGTCCACTGGATTATTTATTATCGGGGCAACAGTCGTACCGAACACATTTACCTCCACCTCCTCCTTCATAACGCCGGTCCCGCCAACTGCGCATTGACCTATATATTTTTATCTGGGTATTTTCCTTTCCCGACGAGTTTACCGTAACATTAAATATAGTGGTTCATTGCCTCAATAACTTGAAAAATCGTATCGATATAAGCACGTCTTGCAGGGACGGAGAGAAATTTATCGGGAATTATTTTTTCGTCGTCCTCGGTTTTGTCGATAAGATGATAATAACAATTGTAATTTATTTTTAAATTATTATTATAATTATTAATATTATTACTATCATTATTATGTGATACTATGGTGTGACTTCGGCTGTCGTTTTAAGGTGTCTGGACGATTGTTAAACGATATTCCATAATATTATGTCATCGAAATCTGTGCATATATATAACACCATTATCGGGTTATCATTCTAATTTTCACTCGATTACAGTTATGTATAAAATCAAAACCGATCAAAAGCTTTCGTATACCGCGCATCTTGTTGAAGTTTTTCCCCAAGTACTTAATATCCGTTTAACCCATATTCAGCCGAATGATAACTATTATGAGCAACCAAACGTTTGTTTGAATTTAGTATGTATTTCTATTTCTAAAAACCCGAATTCATCGAGTTCCAGAAACCCGAAGCAATTAATATTTGGGTGAAAATCCCTGTTTGTAATAGATGTTTAATATAATCACTAATCATGATAAAATTTTTCTACAATCCTGTACCTACTCTGGTTTACTTTAAATTAATGTGGCACGTATAGTGATTACTGTGGGTCACGTAGTTATTTGATGTTTCTGCTGCTGAGTGTAAAAATATGGTCTCAAAATAACTTAAAACTAATAGCAATTTATAACGGCTAATATCAATTATTACTGTGTAGTTGTGATTTAGACACACCGACCGTAACGAAATCGAACAGTCAGCTGGCTTTTACAACATCCGATTTTAGTGGGCATCAATTTTTATATAGACAACAATAATAAAATTGTTAACCATTATTTAGAAATCTACGTTATAAAACAGAACTATATGACATCAAATGATGTTTGCGAATTTGTGAGTAATAAATAAAATCATTAAGTAGGTATTGAAAATTAAGTAGTTAAATGTATAAAAATATTGATATTATTGATTTATAGTACTTCGGCAAAACGTGTTATTACCATATTGTGTACTTTTGTCTAATGAACTATCTTTTGATGAAATGTTTTTGACAAACTGTCCTGGATCCCACAAAAATTGGTGTTTTGAACAATAGGATTTTTTCATATATGACTGGCGTAGAAGTGGCGGCACTTGTTACTTGTCATTTACAATCGTGTCCGTACAAAATGTTCATATTTTTTTGTTGTATATAAATAATGATTTTCGTCTCGCCTTTCCTTAAATTGAACTTATTTTGAACTTTGATCATTTTATTATTTAAAAGCAAGGTTTTTTTTCAGTTCGATATCGCGTTGAGGAAATCTATCGGTTTTTCGATTGGTGTCCAAGAAAAAACATATATCGACCGGCGAGGGCGTGTATTTATGTTTAGTTTGTTAATATTATTATATTTTATAACATTAATCTAAAATTAATCAAACTGTTATAATTGAATATTATACAAATGTAATTTATTGGTTTAATTGTTTTCTTCTCCGTATTCCCCATAGACATATAGAAAACGTAGATAGCCGAATACTATCATATTGCCATGTAATGTTTTAAGGTTGCTGCCGCCATTTGCCTAAACGGCAATGTTAACGTTTTTATATAATAATACTGATTGATAAAGAATTAAAGATGAACACATCCTTGAATAATAATTAATAAATAGATTTTAGACCTTTTAAGTTAGAACCATCTAAGGTCTAGCCGGTCTTCTATACTTCTGTATTTCTGTATATAATCTATATTCTTATATTCTTATCTTCTTATATTCTTCTGTCTTCTCTGTTCATATTGGTAAATGGCGATTGTCCACGTTTCCCTGCTATATAGCATTACATGCCATATAGTATAGTATAATATATTATTAATTTTACTATTATAATGGTTTATGCTTGTGAAGTTCATGGCTGTTTTAATCGTCAGAGCAAAGCTGGCGAAGTTCAATCACCAAAAAATCATTTTTTTTTCGTAGGTTTATTAATTCATTAGAAACTTTTATTGTACCAGCAGTTAACTATGGTAGAATAGTAAATATATTATGAAATCAACACTTAAGCCTAACAAACATTTTTTTATTAAGATTTCCCCTTAAACGGCAAGAGCGATTAAAAAAATTGATTTCTGCAATTTCTATTAGTAGCCCACAGTGGCGGTTTTCAAGGGCAGGCAAGGGAGGCACCGTCTTCCTTGAAAATTAGGGGAAAAAATGTAGAAGTATTGTTCCCGATAAGTTTTAAATTGATGAGTACATAATTTATCAAACTCAAATAATATAAATAAACTAAGACAGAATAATTTAAAAAAATTTTGTAAGAACAAAAATTGATGAATTAAAAATGACGCTGTATCGGATTATTTGTATAAAATAATTTCGCCGGGCGCTGCGCTGCTGCATATTCCATAGGCAACCAATTACTTTACGCGCAAGCGCGTACAATATACAGAATGAGCAATTGTAACTATTAGCTCCGAGGCAGAGCAACTGATTTTCGCTGCCTCCTGAAGTACAGTCATGTACACATTAAATACACACACACACAAACACGAAATAATTGTAACTGCGCATGTGCATCACTTTTAAGGAGGCAATATTTTTAGTCAGCTCCACGATATAATATCTCGTCTCCTACTCCATACAGATTACCGACACACAGAGCCCGCCGCCCACTGCCTGCTGCCATCGAACTGTCAAAGTAAAGTTGTGGTCATTGCTATTCAGCATGCCACTATCACTATAAAGTATAAATATAAATATATTTACAGATATAAATAATTTATATCTTCGAATATATTTTAAAACATTTTGGTGGACATAGTTTTGACTCGTCAAGTCTTGTACATACAATATTAGATGTGTTGTCGATGTGGAATGTTGTCAAGTACCTACTGATATATTCAGTATAGAATTTAAATTTCAGGTTATTATTTTTTTCTCTTCTTATTAACCATACCTATATTGAGTTATTTGTTAATAGTTATAATTTAATAAAATAATAGCCAATTCAAAAACTTATTGTAAAACTCCCTAGTTGTAGACCTATACTATACATTTACTCGTTAATTATAGCTCATACAATATTATGTATTTATATTTTATGTAAGTACCTAACTCATTTTAACATTTACTTTTCATACACTTGTATTTATGACTAATGAGGAATGTACATTGCATTCAATGCTGAATAATATGAATTATGGCAATTTATGGAATGATAAAAAAGTTGATCATTAATTTTAAAAATGTACATAAAAAGTAAAAACAGTTGTTAATATTAGGTAACAATTTGTATAATAATTGCACTTTAAATTTTAGTAATTAAGTAATTCAAATTTCAAATAATTAATTTTTGTTCTTATCAAATAGCGTTATCATTTAAAAATGTAAACATTGCCGTTTAGGCATATGGCGGACGCGGCTTCAATAACAAATTATAGTCGGCTATATCTAGTTGTTCTATATTTCTATGGTATTCCCGTACAATGCGACCTGTATTTTTATTCCCATCAGCTAATAACGCGTGGAACTGTAAATATCAAACGACGTGGGCGTTATGGAATTTTTCGTAATAACTATTATCTTCGTTTATCTGTAAACGGGTTTAATACCCGCCAAAATACGTGATTTCGTGTGAATTCGATATTAAAACCAGTTGGGTGAAAAAGTAACTATTCCAAAAACAGGAACGTTTAAAATTATTGCAAAAATCGACCAAGGGAGTTGCACGAAAACGAAACGAGGCGAAACGGGTGCGAGTGCGTCACACCTATACGTTATTATAAAACTGTCAAAAACGGAAATCGTATTAATTTATACATTAAATTATAGTACCATTTTACGTCACACCAACCGAACGCGATTGACGAAAATACAGAAATGATAAATGAGTAAATAATATTATGTGTTGTTATTTCAACGTGACGAATTTAGGAAGCATTTTGTTTTAATTAAAAATAATTAAAACATTACATGCTTTATAATATATAAATAGTAAATTTAATTAAACTCATTCGGAATGACTAAAATATAGTGCTTACCAGATAAAGATTTTCGAAGACGGTATCGTTACGTGAATTTTTTTTCGATAATAATATTAGTATTTACAATTTTATGAGAGATGTTCATTTTATTTTAAAATATCTATTTCTTTTTAAAAGACGGAGAATGTTTTGTGGCAATGTGAGCGAGGACATGTTTTTAATGAAAAGTTTGGTATGGTTG